AATCCAGCTAAAACACACGAACTGACATCATAAATCTGCTTGTGCCTAAACATTCAGATGTTAGACAGAACACGCACAATTTAATCTGCTCCAATCAAACAATAAAGGCTTTAAAGTGACTGACGATCTTTCGCTGGCTGCACAGAGGAAAGTGCTTTGAGAGTTTTAGGAGGATTTAGTTCAGTCTGTTTTCACCCTCAGGTTCACAAAATCTACACCTCCAGAGGGTCTCAAACAACACATCTTAGGGAAATCTCTCAAACTTTTTAACCTCCTTCTTGACTAAAAATTAACAAAAGTAATCTCCAACCATAATAACCACAAAAAAACTCGGTTTCATATTTAGTAATTACTAAAAAAAATAAGAAAAACGCAGAAGTTTCACACTTTCATTCTCTGGTTTTCAGTAAAAATATGAAGAAGTATTCCAACTTTTACCTTCAGTTTAAATCCCTATAAGATTTTTTAAAATTTAATCAACAGTTTTTAAGAATTTCATCTGAAACGAAGAGCAGAAAGAAGACATTTGCAACAAAATGTCGATTTTTCACTTTTATTAAAGTATAACAGGCCAGACGGCATCAATATTGTCACTTTCCTAAAGTAATGTCCTGCCATTTTTTTTGCCAGAAGTTGTTTTTTTTTGTTTAAAACATCTTTTTAAAAGAAAGAGTTGTTGATTTTTTTTCTCCCAACACCACTTTTAGCAAAAAAAAAAAAAACGAAAAAAGACTTAGGATTTTATTTTAATATGAACCTTTTCAAAATGTCCTCATTTTATTTCAGTTTCAAAATTAGGATAAATTATGAAATTATTATAATAACAATTAAACAATACATTAGTAAATTATACTTATATTCCAATGATAAATTATGAAATTAGATTATAAATGCATAAAGTGCTGCCAGCGGAGGCCAGCAGGTGGCTCCTGTGGACAAACAAACTCCCACAAATGCAGCCAAAGACACAAACAGTGCAACTAATCTGCCAAACGGGCTTTTAAATCCCCGTTATTGATTCAAATCAATAAGGAGAATCAGCAGATTCAGTCTAAGTTAGATGTTTGCATTTATAGAAAGAATATAGATATATTAAACTTCCACTGTAATGTTTATTTGATCGTTTTAATGTGTAAGATCAACAGAAACTTTATTTCTGATTCAAAGTCCATCAAAAAATGAACAAAATAGCAACCAAACAGATACACATCCAAAATCACTAAAAATATATTTTGATAAAATTTTATGTTAAAATTACACAACATTTAACAACAGACAGTTGTACCAATGTCTCTGCAAAGGTTATGATAATTTTATGTAAGACGAAGAAGTGTCTTTCTTCAACTTTTCTAAAAAAATTTTTGATTTTTTTCCCATCTTTATTAATACAAATAAGAAATTTTCCTTACAATAATTGTGCAAACTGCATGTATTGTCTTTTTTTTTAGGAATATGATATGTAGTCACAAAAAGTCTCATAATTCATGATCTGTTCTTTTTCTTTTGAAAGTAGATTAGTTAAAAAATATTTTGCAAAAACTCATCATCCCTCTGGATGTTTGCAGTAATCCTAAATATTTGCTGTTTATTTTTCTGATAGTGAAGATGAGTCATGTTTTCCACCAACATCCACGTCTCAATCTGGGTCGCAGTGGTGAACCTGGAGTTTTCTACCACCTTACAGGAAAAATAAATCTAATTGCAGCCTCTGATAACTGGGATCTCACTCTTCCCTTCATGATCCGAATGTCAGAACCTTCCTGCTCCATCCACTTATCCACCTCAAGCAAGAAATCACGACCCAGACTCCTCTCTGGGAGGCAGAACCTGGACCAGGACGGAGATCCGTGACCTCAGAGTCGCAGGAGCGAACTCTCACCCCGACGGCTCCTGAACTTTTGAACAAAGCTCATGACTCAAAGACTCTCATTCAAACGTTTGCTGTGTTGATTTGGGTCGGAGAAAAGACCGGCTGCAGAAATCCACGTATTTTCCTGAAGTGACGAATGAAGGGATGAGTGGAGCAGTTTATCAGACTGAGTCACAAACCTCTCCTTCCTCCTCCAACCTGATCAGAAACATCCGTGCAAACACACAAATAAAAACACGGCAAGTCTGGAAGAGACAATATGTTCACTTTAGCTTCATTCTCTGTTTGCACCTGAAACATCCTCGACCAGGGACTTTGTATAAAAGATGGATGTTGATGATTAGCCTGCATTTTCTCTCTAACACTAAGTAACTCTGACAAGGCCGTTGTTTCACAATTCATTCTGTGCTCCAAATAAAAATTTCAAAAACATTTCATGCATATTTTCTGTGATGCAAATAGCAAAAGTTACAGCTAGAAAAATATGAAGAGCCCATTGAAAACCTCCTGGTTTTTCCACCAAATATTGATTCCTGAACTCTTCCTGAGTTAAAACATTAGTGTTGTTGTTTCTAAATGAATATAAACTTGTTTTCTTTGCATTATTTGAGCTCTGAAAGCACTGCCTCCTTTTTGTTATTTTAACCATTTGTCATTTTCTACACATAAAAATACAAAATATTTTGGAGACATGTTGTCAGTAGTTCATAGAATAAAAACACAATGTTCATTTTACTCAAACATAAACCCATGAAAAGTTTCAGGGCTGAATGTCGAGAGGCAATGAGAAACATCAAATTGGGTAAAATATGTCAAATAAATCTAAATGATTTAAAAACACATAACTAAAGGGATCGAACTCATGTCTCAATCAGGCTGAAACAAAAAACTGAGGACAAATTGAGCTGAAGAAACACTAAACAAAATAAACCATCAGCACAAATACATTCAGTGCAGGTTAGATTACAAATCAAACATGTTTGATTTTGGGGTGGGTGCAGTACTCCTTATCTTCCTGAAGGGGGTGCGGATCCAGCTAACTATCTAAACCCCTGAGAACGGTTTCTCTGAGTGTGTGGGCTGCTTTGTGTCTGATGACAGATCATCAAGGTGACTGACTGGAGAGTCAAACTGAAAGGGAAGAACAACTGATCCTTCAAACTCCATCAATGAGAAAATTGCAAGTTGTAATTTTTAGCAAGCAGCAGCACGATTTCAGCATCCGAAGGCTTCTTTTTGCAAGGATTTATTTTTCAGCCCAACTGTCAACTGCAGCCTCTCCACACGGCTGGGATAAATCTACAGCATTACATATTAATGTTAGCTGCAGGTCAGACTGCCATCAGTGGTGACATTTAAAAAAAAAAAAAACAGCGAAGCACATCTGAACATTCATTAGTGAGAATGTTTTTAAAAGCAGGAGAACCCTTGAAAGTTGGAACACTGGTTATAAAACCATTCTGCAGAAACAGACCTCTTCTCTGCAACCGGGATAAAAAGTAATTACAGATACGCTGATCACCATGCCAAGCCAACTCTCTGTTATTGAAACCAGCAGAAAGGATACCAAAAGGTCTCGTTAACCATGAGGTCGGTTTCTGAAACTGGAAATATGAACGCAGGTGTTTCACTTAACCTCTCAATAATTATTCCACCAGGCAGCGATCGGGCTGGACAATAAACCAATTCAATCAATATCAACAGATAATATGTCTGATACAACGTTCACTGAACTCTGATCCATCATGGCCACCTAAGGAAGGAGAGTGGCACCAACTCGCTCACTCTTTGGTTACCTAGCAACTCACTCATTCCTTGGTTACCTAGCAACTCACTCATTCCTTGGTTACCTAGCAACTCACTCATTCCTTGGTTACCTAGCAACAACTTGTTGAGTAACTGACACAGCAGCAGTTTAAGGTTTCGCTTAAAAATTAAATTAAATAAGAAAACAACGGCATGGAGTGAAAACTGGACAAAACAGGAAAGGACATGCCACCAGTTTGGTAATATCTCAAATATTTAAAATATGAAAATTAATCAACAATTATCTATATGGACCGATACAAAACACTTATTTGGTAACATGTTTCCCAGTCATATCGTCCAGCCTTAGAGATTGATAGAGACTAATTTAGATAAACATGAAGGATGTCTTCCAGATATGACGTCTTTGTTTTCTCCAGAATTATGTAAGTAAAATATGCATATTTTTGATATTTTGCTGTAACTCTAGTTATCTAAATCCTAGATTCAATCTTCACTAGTGCACAGAACGACTTTCAAACCTTAACTTTGAGTTTTCAGGACATTCAATACCTTCTTCCATAGACATTGTTCTTTCTCTATCACATTTAAAAACAACAAACTTAACCAAAAACGATTCAAATTAAAGACAATAAACGACACATTCCCATTTAGAGCTGGAAAGTTTTTAAACAAAGCACTTTTTCTCTAATTAGCAGCTTTTTAAAATGTGAGTCTCCATGTAAAGTGTGAATAAATCCTGATACTGCAGGCATTAGTATTCCTCACAGCCGTCCAGCATAACTTTAAACGAGAATCAATTAACGAGGATTCAACAAATCTGAATTTAGCTTAAGGATTTCATCGACTTCGTCTGCTTCAGGCGGCTGTTTATTTACCCATTAACTGCAATCTGTATTCACTACTGGCAAGCAATTATAAAGCTGACAATATTAAGAGTAAATACTGACTTAATTTATTATATATTATATTACAAGAATTTGATTGGTAATTGTGAGCCAGTCAATAATCATTTTAAATTAAGTCACTTAAGTCTACCCAAACTGTGTAATTTGACATTTAGGAAATAAATTTGCCTAATGGAAACCCTGCAGTTTCTAAAATCCTCCTGTTTTTTCAATACAAAGTTTTGGCAGTAGGATAAGACGGCTCGGTTAGTGAAAGAAAAACCACAATGGTCACAGAAATAACTTGAATATGACAAAAATAATAATACATTTTAAAAAATTCTATAAAAATGAACAAATGAAAGTCAGACGATGCCTTTCAAACATGAATTATTTAAAAAATAAACTCAAAAATAATGTGTCCAAAGGGGCATGCAAATTATTTTTTCTGAAAGAAACCATTGTGGGTTTTTCTTTCATTAAACAAGAGGCACCAACAATTCAATCCGTGATTATCAACACCGGTTTATTTCACAAAACTGCAATGGAAACCTCTTTCTGTACATGTTTTAAAATAAAAAACCAGGGCTATTTATGTAAAGTTGGTGAATCAAATGACTAGAAACAAAAAGCTCAATCTGACTAAATGTTACATGTCTTATTATACAGAGTGGAAACATGTAAATTCTTGGTTTCCACAAACTGCAGCTTTTCTTTTTGGTGACATTTCCCATTGTGTTAGAGGACAGTAACGATGAATGCCAAGGCCAGAAAACACTCAGTGTGTTGATCACACGGCATCAGATCTGTCTGTCAGCGACTGTTGCATCTCCACGGCAACCGGGAACACCTCAGTGACAAACCGTTAGGTGTCTTTGAAACGCCACGTCAGCTGGGAGTCTACCTACGCTCGGCGACCTTGCAGCCCGTCCTGAGGCTCCGACCAGAGACAAAGACGTGACTGAGAGCTGCAGGTCTGCAGACAAACCAGCCAGCTGATAAGATGCATTTTCACAAAAAAATTAATTCAATGATCTGCTGCTTTAATAAATGGTAAGAAGGGGGGAAAATCATTAGGCATTTGGGTTTGTTAGCAAACACTCAGCTCTACAGTTAAGGGGTAAAAAAAGAAACACAGAGTGTGATTATTTTTATAAACTACAAAGCTTCATCATCATCTGATATGAACATTTGTGTGTAAATGACTGGATCTTTACAGCCTAATGAACCAAAGTGAAGGTTAATAACAACACATGCTATGCTAATCTGTACACTAAACAGTGATACATCATCTTGATGACTTATCTAGCTTTTTTTATTGTGGATTTTATACACTAGCAGCCTTTTATGCTCTTTGTTCCATAAATCTGAGAGCAACATATTTAGATGTTTAATCTGTTTATGGCTGCAGAGCTAGTGTAATAACAATGATGCCATTTTAAACCAATTTTCCTGGAAAATGCAGGAACAGAAAAGCCCAATTTCCTTCCAGAGACGCTCCGTCGAAGCTGCTTTCCATTTTTCAGTGAATAAGATGTTAATGAATAAGACGATTCTCTCACAAAAGGCAGAACTTTATTGGAAGATTTTATGTAACTAACTGCATTCTTTGGCTTATAATGTAAAACCTCATCGCAGTATTACATTATCACTGAAAAAAAACACTAAATCTTACTTGAAAAAAGACAAAAGTAACTTTTCAGCTTGTTTTAAGTCAGTACTTCCTTAATATTGATGAAGAAGTTCTTGAAGAAATCTTCCAGTGGAACAAGATGTTTGTCTTCCAAGTTAAAATGTGTTGTTCCACTGGCAGATTATTTCACTTATAACTAGAACATTTTCATCAATATTAGGATATTTCTGACTTAAACAAGCTCCTGTTCCATGGTGAAAAGTTACTTGTCATTTAGTTTTGTCTTATTTCCAGTGTACTAAGACATTTGCACTAGAAACTAGAGCAAAAGTACTTGGTAAAATGTGTGTTTTTGTCAGTGAATGCGGGAAGAAATTACACATTAACACTTCCACCCTTATTGTCTCTCAGCCTTTCTGCCGATCTGCTTCACAAGGTTTCTGTTACAGTGAATAAGTATGATGAAAGTATAAGCTTTCATCAAAGCTTACACTTCCTGTTATCCTTATTAACCCTTTCATTTTATGTTAATACTCATTTCCAGCGCAATGCATTTGAACATTTTGCTATCATTTTCCTGTATGTCATTTTTGGAGCTCTGGGGTTCTGCTGGCTGCATTACAGGCAGCTTTGCAGGTAAAAAACAAATCATGAGAAAAAAATCCCAAAGAATAAATTCAGCTCTCATTATAACTTTCCCACTTTGTGTGAAGAGGTGAAAGTTCACAAGTACAGCAGAAGCCTTGTTTGAAGATGTTCTGTTGTCCTAATATAAGGTTTTAAAGTCATGGCTTTAACATTCAGCTTTACTTTCATTGTTTGTTTGTTTTTTACTGTAATTTGATTTTTTTTAACCCTTCTAGAAAAAAACAACCATGGCCATGCATGCAATTTACAGGAGCTAGTTAGCATAACATGCATATTTCTGCAGGAAGTAGCCAGAGTACCTGGAGAAAACACACACATTCATGGGAAACATGTCGACCCTGGCCGGGATTCAAACCCAGAACGATTCTCTTTCAGAGATGACTTTCCCTAAATAATTAGCCTTGTTTAAATAACAAACTACCTTTTTGAAACCTTGTTTTTAGGTCCAGAATTAGACTATTCCCAGGTTTGCAAAGTGTTCATGGAAATAAAAACAAAAAAAATGAAAAGTTGTGAGAGTGTAGCCTGTGGTCAGACGTAATAAACAACTCTGGATGGCGAGGACAGCGACAGCTGAATGTGTTAGTAAAGCTGAGGAATGTTAAATTACACATTTCCTGTCTGCTTCTGCTAAATTCTCATTTTCACTACATATCACTTGTCAGCAGGGCTGAGAAAAACTCGACAGGTGGTCGACCAACGAGTTCTCCATGGATTATATCCTGAAAACGACAAAAGAAACCAGGAAATAATAAAAAACATAAACACTGCATAGTAAAAATTAAGAAAAGCTGTTTCACCAGAGTTTTAAACCATTTACAGCCTTTTTTATCCCGATAACAAAGAAAACTAACATATCATGTTGAGGCTATTTACGTTAAATTTTTGTAAATTATAAGTTTTATCAATTTAGTTTTTTCTTTAGGTAGTTAGATACTTAGTTTGGAATAAAAAAAAACTGTAATTAATTTTTGCATTTTGAATTGTTATGATTACTTTGGTAACTTTTAGACCCTGCTTAATTTATGAAATTAAAAATAAATTACACTGCAGAGGAGTGGTGGAGATGTGTGTTGTTTGTCAAATGTCCGGTGTGATGATGGGAGATTTTTTAAATGATTTTACTGATTTAAAAGTCACCATTTCCTAATATTCAAAACTAAAATTAGTCCTGGGTAACATCAGGTGGTTTGTTTTTTAAACACACTTTTTGAACTTGTAAAATCAGATTAAGAATTGTACAATTGTAATTGTAAGAATTGTTTAGTTACTATTTTGTATAATTTTTTGCTGGAAATAAACAGCAAACAGGTGGAACGGCTCGTCCTCTGAGCTCATCCATCTCAGTGCATCGCGCCTCAGGAAGGTTGTAAACGGCATCTTGAGGAGCACTGTGTGACGACACACTGAAGGCGGCGTGTCTGCAAGAGCTTCTTAAAGAGCTTCTTAAAGAGACACAGGCCCAGTTTCAGAGCATCAAATTAAAAAGTCCAATTTCATTTAAGTTATGACAAATGAAAGTAGCATAATCACTTGAATGTGCGATAAAATGATGATATGTGCCTGGAAAATACATAATAAAACCTCTTTAAACAACACAACAGGTTTAAGTTGTTCACTTAGCCTCAAAATCCTCCAGATCTCAGAGCAATTTAACATTTAGAAGATGTGCAAGTCAAATCCATGAAGACTCTACCTAAAGAAAGGATTGTCGTTCTAAAAGGTCTGAAGGAGTCCAAGCCAAATAACACACTTACAGGCAGGTGGTCGTAATGTTATGCTTCATTAGTGTACATGAAAACGACCCAACAGAACAAAGTATTTTAGCTACAACAAAGAGGCATAAGAAGAAAACGTTCATGGTCACTTCAGGTTGGTGTTTTTTTATTTTTGGAAGTTTTTACGCAAGAAGCTTTTTGTTGTTGTTCATTTGCTTACTTTTCTTACTTCTTGAGTTCATCCTGCACACTGTGCAGACATGATTAGGTAGGAAATAAAATCCAAGGTAACCAGTTGAATAATAGAATAAAATGATTCACTTCTCCAAAAAGGCCATTTTCTAAACCTGCTTTGTTTTGTTCAGGGTTGTGGAGAGAGGTGGAGTACCCAGAGGGCAACAAGAACCGCAACGGAGACTCAGCAGAGAAACAACCAAACTCTTAACGCAGAGGGGAACCAGAGCAGATGCAAAAACTGTTTTATCCAAGAGCAGCCCAGAAGAAATGAATATTCACCGAGAGGCTGCAGCCCAAAGGAAGAAACCAATAAGAAACCTTTCAGCGACCCAGATGAGGTCGTTTATCAATAAGGTTTAAATAAAAAGGTCACACTGTTTGAGCTGAAGACCACGGTGAAGCTGTGACAGATTAAAAGGTGAGAACATTAGTGAGTCCTCAACCTTTTGAAGGAACATTTTTTTACTCCAGCGGAGACGAAACATCACGACATTTACTGACTCACTGTGAGATTTTTCCTCTGTGGACAGATGCAGCAGTCGCTAAGCATTCCTCCATTTAATCCAATTTAATCTTCATGCTTTTAGGTTTCATCCAGTATCAAATATAACTACTCTAACAATAACACTTGTAGAAGCACATTTATGAAGCATTTGCATAAAACACTTCAGTTTCCCCCTAATGTCTAAATTGAGAATTTCGTCATTGATTCAATAAACTCCAAGCTCACAGAAACATTTAGATTACAAATCTAATTTTAACGGGCAGCCTGGGCAGCAGCTGCTCCCCAGATTCAATTTAACAAGAGAACTACATCACAAAAATAAAAAAGTGTTGTGTTTGAACAAGGAGCTTCATGTTGTCTAAGTAAAAAATGAATTAACCGCAGCAAACATAAAAGTATGAACCAAACACCGAAAAAACACCTGATATCCTTCACACTGCATTGAGTGAAGAAAATACCTGAGTAAAGGTTAAACGGCAATAAGAGTTTCCTCTCAGAAAGTTTTTTCAACGCAGACAAGAAAGATTAAGACAAAGAATAAAATAAAGTGACTTTCCTGCTGAGTAAATCTCAGAAACTCAGTGAAATGAAGCAGAAGAAACCAAAAGCTTATGTTTGTATCCAACTTACTAAATAAGCACAAAATACTTTTATTCCATAACTTGTTTTGGCATCAACTTATTGATACTTTTTAAACATACTGGGTGTTTGGACTGGCAAACCAAATCAATCACTTGCAGGATGGCGTTAGGATTAAATGTCCTTTTCTTTCATCAAAGTTCAGAAATGTTTCCCAGGATAATCTATAATCTACCAGGGGAATTACAGTGTGTTGTATATGAGACGTAACTAAAATATAAGAAACAGAAGTATAAGACATGTTCAATGAAAAACCTTAAAAATCCAGTTGAAACGAGTCTGAAACTAAAATATCGGACATGTGAGCCAGACATTTCCTGCTGTTCTGATCACTTTGTCTTCAAACTCTGAAACTCCCTGAGGATCAGCTGAAGGAGGTCAGAAAGGTCAGACAGTAACTAATCATCAAAAACAAGCAGAAGAAGAAAAGAGGAGAGATTCGCTGTCGGAAAAACTGTCTGCACACGAGGAAATGTCACGATGCGCAGTGCAGTAGAAAGCCTTATTTCATTTGTGATGGAACTGATGATACTTTTTACTGATTATATCTGCTGTCTTTTTGTATTTCTGTGTTTTTCCATTAAAGAAGTTTCCAGACAATGTTTAGATGTGATAGTATAAGAGATCTGAAGACATCTTGGGTAAAATGCTTGATCTTAAAGCACTGACATGTGTGGAATGTAGTTTGTACCCTTGTTTGACCCTGAACCCATGAATAACTGACAAGGAAAAATTAGAAGTTTCTCCTGAAATCCTTATCGGCTCTGTCCTGCCATAAAGTCTTCCCTTCCAGGAGGTGAGGGACGGTTCATGAGGTGGGGTCAGGATCGTCTCTGTGGTCCATCTAGCAGTAGAGACCAGACTTTGGTGGGCCTTTTCCTTGTTTTAACTACATAACAATGTGATGTGACTGTCTTCAGTGAGATGGATCTTTGCCTTCGAATAAAGAAACTTTAAGACAAAGATTAATCTCTCTCTTATTATTGAAACTGATCCTCATTCTTTCATAAATGAAATTTCCATATCAGCAGCTTAATATTCAGATATGAACCAAAAGCAGCTTAAACACTGAACTAAAAAATCCACGTCTGAAGCATCTCCAACACCAAATAAGAGGTAAATAAAACTTAAAGAGGTCCACTTCAATAGTGTACATGAAAACGACCCAACAGAACAAAGTATTTTAGCTACAATAAAGAGGCATAAGAAGAAAACGTTCATGGTTTCTTCTTATGAAACCATGAGAAGAAATTATTAATGCAACATTCATAAGATGTGAACCCTATTACAACAGATTTAGGATTATTCTACCTGCAGCTGTCTTCTTCTGCATTTTCCTCCTTCAGAAGGCGCAAAGCGAAACCAGATTTCAGTATTTTATACCTTAATTTAATCACATGTGATCAACAACCAGCCTTCACAGCAGCAGCAGCAGTTTGTGTTTAACATAAAGTCTAATGCAGCTTTGATTCTATTTGGAATAAATGAAAATGCCAATTATTAGTATAATCAAACATTAACAGCATCTTGAGGCAGAATGGGATTTGGTTTGAGTTCTGATTGTGAAAAGAAAACGCTCCAGATGGGGAGAAAGGAACAGCTGCAGGCGGGCGAGGGAAACCTTTTTTAAGGTTTTGAAAAAGTTACATTTATTACAGATGGAGAACTTTGAGTAAAACCTGCTCTCAGTGTTTCTTAAAACCAAAACATATTACAAATTCCCAATAAGAGCTCAAACGTTTTGGGACAAAATCAAACATTCAGTGTAGGGCTGTGAAATAAATCAACAACAATATATATCGCAATAGAGAGTGATCAATATCAGTAGATAATACATCAGATAGAATATTCAACAACAATAATTTCACTGAAACCCAAGCCAAAACTGCAATGCATTCTGGGAAATGTAGGCAGATGAACGGCTTTAGCCGGTCAACCTCTCACAGCTAGCTTAGTGCAGTTGGTGGAATCTACTCATTCACTCTTTGGTTACCTAGCAACAACCTCCTGAGTAACTCTGTAGTTACCTAGCAACAACCTGCTGAGTCACTCTGTGGTTACCTAGCAACAACTTATGAAGCAACTGGCACAGCAGCAGTTTGAGGTTTCACTGCTGTGCCTCCAAGCTGCTTAAAAATAAAAAATGACATGTAGTGAAAACTGAGGATAAAACAGAAAAGGTTTTATCCTCTTTTCTTCCAGATAAAGACAAAACACTAATAAATTAATATTGATTAATTGTTATGTTGTGATATGTTTTTTCAGTCAAATCATCCAGCCCTAATTCTAATCTAATCTGTAATGTGATTTATATTTTTGGCTAGTTTTTATTTTAAACCAAATCTAAAAATCCATAGTTTACATCAACATGTCAGTTAATCAGCTTCAGTCAACCACAAATAAAAATTTTTGCTCACTCGTCTTCTTTGCTCGGTTCTGTTACATTTTCATGTTGCCAAAAGACTTTTTGCTTGTGTTCTGCCTAGATTTCCTAATTTTACCACAAAACAAAACAAACCGGAGAGGAAGGACGATTTGAAGAAGCAGATGTCTGCTTCTCCTCATCGACTGGGCTGTGATTCTTAAACAAAGGCGGGTCCGGTCACGTTGTGACTAAGCACCGCAGTGATTCCCTTTGACTCACGGCTCCAGCAGATGTGCACCGACGGGATGAATCAGTGGCATTATGCCTGCCGCCCCCTGCTTGCTCCTGATTTAAATTTGTTGCGTTTACATCTCATATTACCAGCCAAACTAAACCAATTATGGATATTACAAATTTGTTATGTTTGTGTGAGGTGACAAAGGGAGATGAAGAGGAAGAAGAGTGTGGTTGCTGCAATAAAGCTGCAGGTAAATACAGTGACATTAAAGCATCTAGACATTTTAATATAGATTTACAGGTGTATAGTGAATAGATGTTTATAATATGATTTTATCATCGTTATTGCATGTTTTTCTCCCCATTATATTTGAGGTTTTAAAAGAGGAGACGTGTTCTTAAGGTTTCTGCCTCTATTTCTCCTCTGGATTTGCTCAGATCAGGTCTTTCTGACCTTGGCTTTGGGTGCTTTCAGACTGCAGGGTCCTTTTTATGGTTCCAGCTGAGACGAGACAGAAATGGGAAATGCAGGAGTTTATTACAGTAAAAGAACAAAACTGTCTATAACAGTGGGCTCAATCCTGAATCCACTGTTTTCATGATGCATCTCTGCTCCACTGCATCTATGTTAAATAAATGCATTACATGATATTAAGTTCTGATAATCACAAATTTATTAAAGCCTAAGGGCCCACAACTTCTGCACACCTGAAACATGCAGGACAGTGGTCCCTGAAGAATGGTGAGACCCCTGAGACCCACTGGTCTGTATGAAAAGGTGCCACCGGACCAAAGAACCATGACAAAGAAAAGCTAACTGAGAACATGAGGAACCTAAAGATTACCTAAAGGTGTTTTCAGAGTCCAACAGTCCAGTAGACTCGGTTCGATTGGAGAACAAAGTTGCAACATTTGTTACATTTTTCAGTTGCTGTGGTTTCCTTTCACATGGCACGAGCCAAAATATTTGAAAAAGCTGTTCCCCTCCTCGCCTGTGGGGGCACTGCACCGAGAACGGCTGAAGAAAACAACACAGAAACGTCAGAAGAAAACACCAAGCACAATTTATTTCTTCACAAAATGTAAAGAAAAGTGGAGTGGTGTCAGTTTTTACCAATTGTACGATTTGTCTTTAGTCTTAAAAAGACAATGAGCCATTTCTCCCACTAGCGCTGCTTTTACCCAGAATGCCGTGCGCTATAGTTCGATTCTGGTCCACCTGACATTCAATATGAATTCGAACTGCACCAGAGTTATTTAGTTAGTTAGCTAGGAAATGTATTCATTTAATTAAAAACAAAGAAGAAATACACCAAAAGAAATCTGCTTATGAGGAAAATCCCATCATTTTTTCTGATCAATGAAAACGTCACATAAAAAAACTAACAGGTAGCAATTGTGGCTATGTAATTAAGGAAAGCTAGACACTTTTAGTATAAATGATCTGGTATCTACAAATTAAATTAAGTAAACTTAAGCAGGGAAAGACACGCCAACACTTCTGTTTTATCAGTTTGAAGAGGTTTTAGAAACGGTGGCATCGCAGCAGTGCAGTGATACTTTAAGTGAAAAGTAAAATGGTTTAATGTACAACACAAACTCAGAGTCTGAGTTTGTGAAAAGAAAAAGGTCACAA